ATTGCAAATAATAATTTACATATTTTGTGTTCTGGTGTGGCGCTGCAGGATAATGCACTGGACCGCAAGGTCAGTTTGAACTGCAAGGTCTGCGGTTCAAACTAACCAGCTGCTTCTCGGATACCCTATATAGGGTTGTTATGAGTTGGAATCGACGGGATAGTACTGAAACAACAACGTATTTTTTGTGGGTTTACTGATAGTGTCTTATAAAGGCCAGTGTTTCCATTTTGAAATTAATTCTACATATAAAGCCTTGGTAGTGTAATGGGTTACATTTTGGCTGCTAACTGAAAGGTCTGCAGTGCGAAGCTACTAAATGTTTTGTGGGAGAAACTTTTGTGTCCCGCTAAAAGTTTACAGCTTAGGAAACCCTGTACCGGGTCGGAACCGACTCCACGGCACACAACCACTACCAAAGCTAATTTTATTTGATCAAGAAAGGGCTCATTATTTTTGTAAGTCATAACCTTTTCTGTTCCTTTTTCAAAATACCCTTTTTGTCTAGGTGAATGTAAAAAATTTACATGTAATTTACATATAATAAAATTCACCGTTTAAAACGGTACAATTCAATTTCCTTTTAAATTGGCGGCTTCAGTGATTTGATGAAAGGTTGTTATAGCTCTCTACGTTTCAAAACACAATTCATCTCCAACTGTCCTATAGATGGCAGCATTGAGCAATATATTTTGGTTAGATTGCTTTTCTGTGCTTGTGAATTTTCAGCTAGAAGTGAATTTTTCATACAGTGTATTTCATTACAATACACCACAATATTAATTTAGTGTGAGATGACAGGATAATACGTGTACCTGCTCAACATTACTTCAGTTAGATTCCACAAAAGCATCTCCTATTCTCTATAGTGTGTGAAGTCAAATGTGAATTTGCATTTACAGAGCTGACTCATTAATGAAAAATGTAGAGAACAATTGAACTTACTATAGTATAATTATAAAAAATATTAACCATCTTTAACCTTGGCAGCAAAACACTGGAAAATCGGAAGAAATGGCAATAACGTCCGATGATTTTTCCATATGAAACCCATTAGTTAACATCAGTCTAATAGAAATGTCATAGAAATCTAGTTTATTTCAAGATTCCTGTAAGATATTTTCGCCGAGTTGTTGTGTTTCCAAGCAGATATTCTTTGCTACTGAAAGGTAATGAACGGCATTAAAAAAAAAAAAAAAAAAAGCCTTTGTAATAGCAATTAGTTTTATGTAATCAAAATTCTAACCTTTCTGGCAAAGTAATTTTAATGTATTTACAAATTAAGTTGACCTTCTATTCCCCCCACCCTACCCCCTCTTCTTTCAGGAAAGAGGTAAGCGTATTTTGTTTCCCATAGAGGTGTATTTCTTTTATTTAGATAGGGAAGGGGGTGTCGTTTGAACACATTGAGCAAATCTAGGGGTTTAAAATTTTTTTTTTTTTTTAAGATATGTGAAATATCTCCATGGCCCATGCTAAAGATCAATCCTGTAAAAAGTCCTGTTAGGTCTTACCTAGATAACAAGGCTTCTAGTCAATAACCCCTTTACTATCTTTCTTTTTTCTTGCCAACGTAAAAAAAAACACACACACCAAAAAAACAAACCCCCGCAAAGTTACACTTTTTCTTACTAACTTCAGGTGTCGTACCCCTAACCCCACCGCCACACCCCATAAAGCACTCTAGCCCCCCCACCCAGATTCTCATTTGCTGTTATTGCCCCCTCGTTACCAGCTCCCAAATCAGCTATTTATAGGCTTGCAGAAGTGGGCAAGTGTGCCCACACCAAGCTGTCAGAGGGGAAGGAGGGAGGGCTTTCAATTCAACAGTGTGGTCGCGAATTAGAGGGTTAGATGAGGTTGCAAGGTGGCAGGAACGAGAAGGTAAGAGGAGATCTAGAGGAGATAGCCCCTCTGCAGTTCAGTTCACGTTTTGCACGCCACTCACTGACTGGCGCCTACGGTTCTTTTCCTTTCTTTCTTTCTCTCTCTCTCTTTTTTTTTTTTTTACTACGCTTTGCAACCTACCTTGGTACCCTCACTCTCCCTCCCTATCTCCCCTCCTGCAATGTAAGACTTGAATGGCAGGCAGCCCCACCAATCAGCACCATTCCCAAGAACTCTTCCCTCCTCTCCCTCCCCGCTTTAGGGCCAGGCTCTCACCCCCGCGGCCTGGCGCGTTTTGACCAGTGAGCATGCCCAGCGGCTGGCTAGCCGCGTTGAGGGGCTAGCATCCCGCAGTGCCTGAAAGCTGGAGGCAAGGGAGGGGTGCATGTGTAGCAAGGGGGTATAAACGCCAAATGGGCCGAGGATGGAGTAGAAAATTAGATCACTTTAAGCAGAACGACACACGTCGTTTTTCTAAGGTCCTTAAAGCCAGTGGGGTCAGCAGAGAACTAACTGCTTGTTTAGGGGTCCGCTTAAATGGAAAACAACACAAAACCAAACCACTGGGGAGCGTTTGTTTGTGGTGAAATTCCAGGAGCTGGGTGACTTGTACAAGAGGCTCTCTAGGTAGGCCTAGGTTGCTGGCCGCTTCCACTCAGCAAGTGCCGCTTTTCTATAGAACTGTGCTGGCAGCGTCCCTGCTTTCTCCGGACTAACCTGGTTGTTGTTTTGTGCCTTGGAGTCGGTTCTGACTCTTAGCGACCCTAGGTAGTGTTTCTGAGGCTGTAAATCTTTACGGGAGCAGAAAGCCTAATCTTTCTCCCACAGAGCGGCTGGTGGTTTCCACTAACCTGATGCTCTAAAAGGTGGCGCTATGGTTAGGTGCTTGATTGCTAACCAAAAGGTAGCAGCAGGTCGGTGGTTCGAACCCACCAGTTGCTTGACGGGGGAAAGGTGTGGCAGTTTGCTTCCAGAAAGATTTTTCCGTTTTACTCTATTCTGTAAGGTCACTATGAGCCTGAGTCCTCAATATTGAGTATTTTTGTCGTCAAGGGTAAAAAATGCACGGAGTGCCTCTTTAATATGAGGAAGCTGGGTGGGAGACACGTGTCAGTCCGTTTTTACACTAGGCAGTGCTTTTAGGAACCCTTTGTAGATCCGGCACCTCTTTTTGTAAATCACAAATAGACTTTGGAATATGGTTTGTTATTGTTATTAAGTGCCATCGAGTCGATTCTGACTCATAGCGGCCATTTCTGAGCAGAGGAGTGCCCATCTTGTGGTTCACAGTCCAGTGGTGATCCTACCGCGCCACACCAGGAGTATGACCGGGGTATCTTAATTGCTCCCAAAGCTCTCACTTGGATGCGGCAGTGGGAGAAGCTGTGATATTTACATTACCTCCCTAGTTGATTGGCATCTAACCCCACTGCGTCAAGGCTAGGGGCGCTTCCCCGGGATCCCTTTTTACATTTTGGTATAATCATGACACTGCCCCCCTACCCCACCCCCATCTCCATCACTGCCATTGGACATCCAGTCATTCCTTAGCAGCATATCCGGGGATTCCAAAGTCGAAGGCTGGCCCAGAAGTCCCTTAAAAACCTTGCCAAAATACAGCTCTCCTCACCATGGTCCCCTCAGCCAGGAACAGAAACCAGGCCTCTCTATTTCCTAGGAGAAAAGCCCTAGGCTGGAAACCTTGCCCCGGGAAGGGGTCGATCTTACCTGATAGGTAAGAGGCTGCCCAGCTCCCGTACACCCTCCTTCCCG